TTAAATTATTTAATTTTTTGTCTAATTTGTAAAATTACAAGATATTTTTTATTGCGGGTGGAAAAATATTTTACTTTTTTTTTTCTCATGAACAGGAACATAACCTTTAACCCACATCGGTAAACGGTGACTGGAATTTGGCTTTTTTGAGAAATAAAAATAGTTAGCAATGTGACTTCTGTTGTTAATACTTAGACCGAGATGTATTACATCAATGAATTCAAGTAAAATAATATTAAAAATAACATTATTCGTAATTATTACAACAATGTTTATTATATGGGTAAAAATTTATTTATTTATGTGAAACTTTCACTATGTGTTGTCATATAATGGGCATATATAACCAACACCAGCCTTTACAATGTTTTTATTTTTATTTTTAATTTTTTGTACTAGAAGAACTGGAGAAAAGGGAAGGGAGAATGGGATATAAAGAGATTTGAATTTAGTGGTATGGATAAAATACCGACATAATAAATCACACGAGTCATGCATATGGATTCTTGCCTTTACATTATTTTGTATATAATTTCTGTAAATTTTAATATATACCGAGGTAAGTTCTCTTGCTAAATAGATTATTTTTTTTAATATATTATAATTATTTATAGATTAATTGAAAAATATGAGAAATGATTTTTTGTAAAATTTAAATATGTAATTTACAAGAAGTGAACCATCATAATTCAATTGATAATTCTTATTTAATATTAGTTTACAATAAATAATTTATTGAAATTTACCGACGCAGCTTTGTAGACATTACTAATACAATTATTGAGGTAGCTTCGTCAAGGTGAACTTCATTGCACGTGAATTACAATATTATGCTATTTTGATCCAGGTATGGCAAGCTTTCAGCAACGTACAATTTTCACCCATCTATAGTAGGCCGTCGAGTTGTACTATAAACTAGGGTACGCGTTTTTAGGTATGGATCAAATATGAATTATATTTTATACTTAATTTAAATATTTTTAGGTATCTTTTAGATTTGGTATTACTCAAATATTCAAAAGTTTATATTTAATATTTAACTTAATAGATACCAAAAATTTTGTAGGTATTCATATACTTGCTTTAAAAAAAGAAAAGGCTTAATAAGAAATGCTATGAGTGTAATGTATTTGGTTTAAATTTTAATATTTATATGAATTATTATTATTGTATATGCGATTTGTTAATTTGATTAATAGGCCTTAATTAGCTTTTATTTTTAATTTTTTAATTTTATTATTTTTATTTTTAAAAACTATTATTATATAGATATTAAATATAGTAAGTATATGTAAAATTTTAATTATATATGTATAGGTAATAAGTAATTTAAATAAATCAGCTAAATATGTTAAATAAACAGTTCTAAATCTCTATATTTGTTATTTAACTTGATACTTATGGATATATTATTTTCATACTCATTAAATTACTCATTTTTTTCTTTTTATACTTTGAGTATGCTACTTACCAAACAAATAAGGTACTTACAAGGTTAAAATACTAATTTGGTCTCTTAATTTTTAGATTTGTATTGAAATTGTCTTTTAACTTCAAAAAATACCAAAATTATCCTTAAACTTTAATTTTTAATATAAAAATAGTCCTTTTGTTAATGAAAGTGTAACTTGATTCATTATTTTACTACAAAATTAGTTTTTTTTTTAATATTAATGACATATAAAATTAAATAATCATATATTGCTATCATGACATATTTTTAGTTACATATTAGATTGATATATAATTAAAGTTGAATAACTAAATTTGCACTCATAATCAAAGTTCAAGTCTAACTTGGTACTTCTCTTCAAAATTCAAGAACTAAGTTGGTATTGAATTAGAGTTCAAAGAATATTTTGGTACCAAAAATTAAAGTTTATAGATAATTTTAATACTTTTTGAGATTTAAATGCAATTTTGATACAAATCTAAAAAATGAGGGACTAAATTAGTATTTTAACCTCCTCGCAACTAATGGATTTACTTATTCCTATCATAAACAAATCTATAAATAAGATAATAATTTGTTTGGTTTATAGGTTCTATATCATATCGTAAAACCCAATTTTGCCAGAAATTATGTACTATTACTTCAGTGGATGGAAACCTTTCAGATATTATAAATATAACATTTTTAGTGCCGATAGAAAAAATCATACATTCTTTTGAGCATAATTTTCGATTTGAATCTACAATGTTTCTATTGAATTCATGTTCATGTTCTTCCCCTCACCTCCTCCAATGGGGTATACTTCTCTCAAGTCCTCTGTTATTATTCTTTTTTTTTTTTTTTTTGTCAATTACCATCTCCAAGATAGTTTGATTCAGTTCTTGGATTATTTTTTGATAATTGAGATTATATTTGAGTATGAAATTATATATATATATATATAAAGAAGAGGGATCCACTAACACATAAGTTTTATATACTACATTTATACAAAATCATGATTATTTATCTTTCTATTTTTATTGGTTAAAATTTATCATGACTTTTTACATGAAAACAATAATTATTTTTAATAAATATGAATAAATTTCAATTATTGAAAGTAAAGAGAGGAATTATTGAAATTTTATATAAGTGCAATGCATAAAACTTGTACAGAAGTAGATCCTTACTCATATATATTTTATTTCAAAAACTAATACTTGTAGAATCAGTATTACTAATGTTTTGAATTTGGAAAAATAAAATGATTGATACACCCCTCGATTTCATGCACTTGTCAACACCTACTGATTAATCTGCACTTGAAAATTTTTTCAACTGAAATTCAAATTTGAACATAATAATTTCTTAATAAATGTGTTATAAAATGTGTTGAAATAAAGAATATGCCAATCATTGTCCTTTGAAAATGATTGATTCATCTTCTACTTCAATGCATTTTTCGTTATTTATCTAATTCAGTTATTAAAATATAAGATAAATATAGTTAATTTGGTTAGTTTTTACATCTTATATGTATAACTATATTTTTAAGTTTATTTGATTTTAATTTTATACTAAAAAATAATAATTTTTTAATGAAACGTTATGCAATGTGTTCAAATAAAAAAGAGTATTAATTAGTGTGCTTTAAATTTTTTTTTAAAAGCTTAAAAGGAAATATATATATATATATATAAACAAAGTACAAGGAGTTTTCTAAGCCATGTACAAATAGTTCCATTGCAATTGTCTTTGTGTTATATTATATGCTGGTATCTACCTCCCAAGCTTGAAATTTTTTTTTTTATCAGCAAAACAAAAGTTATTTATTTATTTAATGGAGCACAAGGGGTACTCCTGCCCTTCTACAAAAAGAAGAAACGCTTAATCACCCAATAAAAACAAAAAGGAAACTCCCTTACAGATCCATAAAGACAACCCAAGCAATCAAACTAAAGACCAGCTCACCACTGCCGCATACAGCCTTCCGTGTAAAAAACCATACAGCCCATGCCCTCTAAATGGGACAATGACTTTGCTGTTGCTTCGAGAACAATTTAAGAGATCTCTTGAAACTCTTTAACTCCTTGGCACATTCCTTAGGATTACTTTGCCACTGAGCTAATGAAAAAACACACCCATTCACCTTATTTCTAATCCATAAATAAGACTTCACTTGAATTAACTCCAGCAATTGCTCATTCAGCTCCCCATTATTCCTAAATACCAAGCTATTCCGCCAGAACCATAAATACCAAGATGTGACCAAAAACATGCATGCTCCCAACTCCTTTCCCCCCACACCCCCCCAACACCACAAAAAGAAATCCACCACACCCCTCACTGTACCCGGCATTACTACCTCCACGCCCCACCATTTAAACACCTTCACCCATACTAACCAAGCTACTTTACATGTGCAGAACAAATGATTAGCATCCTCCACTCCCTCTTTGCAAAGCCCACACCCCATACCATCCCCTTGTAACATCACCCCTCTCTTCCACAAATTCCATGTTGTCGGAAGCCTGTCTAAACACAACCTCCACCCAAAAAACCCCACTTTCGAAGGCACCAACTTACACCATATTAAATTGCATAATTGACCCTCAAGCAAACGTTCCTCAGGAGCTAAGGATTCATAGGCTATCTTGACCACATACCTCCCTTCTACATCATGCCTCCATCTCCAAAAATCTGCCATTCCTTTCCTTAACTTTATACTCGCCAACACCACCCCCAACCCTTGCTCCTCATCTTTCTCACGTCCCATCCTCTCTCTCCTCCACTCTATACCCCATTTCCACTTTTCTCCTTCCCATAAACCATTCTCCTTGACCGAACCTTCCTTTTTAATAGCTAATTGAAACAGCCTTGGAAATAAATCTCTTAGTGATTTATTCCCCACCCAAATATCTCTCCAAAAGCACACCCGACAACCCTCCCCCACCTCCCACCGGAACCCATGCCTTAACATATTTTTGAGCTTCTCTGATTTTCCCCCTATTCTAATAATATCTCTCCAAATCTGCGATACCCTCAAACTCACCACATCAATCATACCCACCTCTATCTTACCCTCGTAAAATTTCTCTTTCACTACCCTTTTCCACAACCCCTCCTTTCCATCCCCTAACCTATACCACCATTTCCCTAAAAGCGCCCAATTCCTCCTACGCAAATCCGGAACACCTAATCCTCCTTTCTCCTTACTCCAGCAAATCGCCTCCCATTTTACCCACGAGATCTTTCTTTTCTCCCCTGAGCCCCCCCACAAAAACTCCCTTTGAATAGCGACTAATTGAGCCAACACAGAATTAGGCATATAAAATAAGGACATAAAAAAAGTAGGAAGAGCAGAAAGTACCGAGTTTAGCAACGTAAGACGCCCTCCGTAGGACAACACGGCAGACTTCCAGACGGCAAGCTTTTGGCGAAATTTACTAACAACCGGAGCCCAAAACTTCTTACACCTCGGATTACCTCCGACAGGCATTCCCAAGTACATAAAAGGTGTCTTCCTTACACCACAATGCAAAACCCCTGCTACCCCTCTCACCCAACTGTCCGACATGTTAAAACCATACACACAGCTCTTGCTGAAATTAATCCTCAGCCCCGACATCAACTCAAACCACCTCAGTATAGCTTTCACCGTAAGAATATTTTCTTTGCTTGCCTCACCCAAGATAACTGTGTCATCTGCAAATTGTAACAAAGAGACCGCCAACCCCCTCCTACCCACCTTTATCCCTTGGAACATGCCTTCGTTTTCTGCTTTTTTAACCAATCCATGCAATGCCTCTCCAACCATCAGAAATAAAAAAGGAGACAAAGGGTCTCTTTGCCTGAGCCCTTTCCCCATTTCAAACTCCTTGGTCGGACTACCATTTACCAATATCGATACCCTAGCCGTAGATAAACACTCCATAATCCACCCCCTCCATTTATCACCAAAACCAAACGCTCCCAACATCCAGTCCAAAAACGCCCAATTAACACAATCATAAGCTTTTTGAAAATCAGCCTTAAAAACAAAAGCTGATTGCTTCCTCTTGCGAACCTCGTCCACAACTTCATTTAACACCAAAACACTATCAACCAATTGTCTTCCTCCTACAAAAGCCGATTGCGTTTCGCTAATAATCCCCGGCATCACCTCCTTAAGCCTATTAGCTAACACCTTCGCTAGCAACTTATACATACATCCAAGCAAACTAATAGGCCTAAAGTCTTTTAGTTCCCTAGGGCTCAGTTTCTTCGGAATTAATGTAAAGAAGGAAGAATTCAAACCCCTCACTAACCTGCTGTTGTGATGGAAATCCCGAAAAAAAGCAATAAAGTCTTCTCGTACACTACTCCAGATGAACTTAATGAGATTAAAGTTATACCCATCCGGTCCCGGAGCTTTACTTCCTTCACAACTCTTCAAGCCTTCTTCAATCTCCTCCGCCGTGAAAGGCCTTTCAAGCCACTCCTTCTGATCTTCAGAGATTCTCCGAAAAACCAGATTTGAAGGTTTGGGACGGATCCAACCTTCTTCTTGAAACATCTTGTGGAAGTACTTCACCATCTCGGCCTTCACCATCTCCGGGTCCTCTACCCACTGTCCGTTAGACCATAATCCCGAGATACCGTTTTGCGCCTTCCTCCCATTTGCAATTTTGTGAAAAAATCTCGTGTTCTGATCCCCCAATTTGACCCAATCACTTCTAGATTTTTGCTTCCAAATCGCCTCCCTTTTCCACAAAATATCCCATAGCTGCTGGAAACCTTCCTTTCTTATATCCACCTCCTCCTCTGCCAAATCCACCACTTCATTCTTCAAATCAATCTGTTCTACCCTCTCGACCACATGTTGAAACTGTACTTCCACGTTTCCGAACACCTCCTTATTCCATTCTTTTAAAAATTCCTTCAACCTCTTAAGCTTCTATTTACATCTAAATCTCGCATATCCTTCCTCATCAAGCTCCTTCCATTTATCTTCAATCGCCTTTTTGAATTGTGGGTGCCGTTGCCAAGCATCCAAAACACGGAACGGTTTTGGTCCCCAATCAGCTATTGTTGTCTTGACCATAATAGGACAATGATCAGACACAGTCCTCTTCAGTCCAAGTTGCACCCATCCCTTTCCCGAACTGTACATCTCGCCCGACAGTAGGACTCTATCCAAACGACTCATAGAAGACCCATCTGGTCGATACCATATAAACCGTCTATTTGCCAATTGCAGATCTACCATCCCAGATGACACAACAAAATCATCAAACTCCCTCATATCCTGAGTCTCCCCTATCCTACCCTTCCGCTCATTGGAACTCCTAACTGCATTAAAATCCCCTGCAATCATCCATCTCCCATCCTCTTCCATTATCATTTGCCGAAGTTCATTCCACATACTCATTTTCTTCTGCTTGTCATTGGAAGCATATACATTCACAAAATTGAACTTCAACTTCTTTGGACCCCATTCTCCTTTAATCCTCACAAACCCATCACCCGAGATTACCCCCTGTTGAACAAACTCAAAACGATTCCATATACACAATAAACCCCCAGAGGCTCCACACGATTCCTTCATCACCCAATCATAATCATCTGAAAACCACAACATTTTACACAGAGCATCCTCCACCATTTCTAATTTTGTCTCCTGAATAAATAAAAAATCGGGTCGTTCTGCTCTAACCAATTTACTCACCTCCCTTCTTTTAACTACACTCCCTAACCCCCTCACATTAAATGAGATTAACTTCATAAAACAATATCACCATGCACCCCTCCCCAACGACTGCCCCTACCCTTACTTCACCTTCCCCTGCTCACAATCCCGGATCTCCAGATCTAGTAACCTCGACTGAACCTCCTCTTCATTATCCTGCCACTGAATACCCAATCTTTTCCCAACACCCAAAATCCTCCTTACCTCTTGTAGATTCAGCTCTCTTTTGATCACCTGGTTTCTATTGACTATACACCCATCCGACAGTGAAGAACAGCCAACACCCTGCTCCAGCGTCACCTTCTGCTACTGTTGCGTCGCCGGCTGCTGCAGCTTCGTCACCAGCTGCTGCTGCACTCTGTGAGGTCTCAGCGAACCTCTTCCTTTAATCCCTAGGGATCCTGCTACAAAATTGGAAGCCTGCACTTGTGGATAACAATCCTTGACATTTCTCCTCTTTTTCTCTCTTGAATCCCTAATACCCAAATTCCCAATCTTATCTAATTCCCCATCCGATGCACCATTCTGATCTCCAGTCTTACCCGCCTCTATAGTGGCCCCCAATCCACCTAGTGCCTGCCTTTTGGACTCACGCACAACTAGCCCAGCCCCTTCTTTCGGCCCACACATAGATTCCAGCCTCAAGCCTGATTCTGAAAGAGGCCCAGTTTCCCCCTCCCTGTCCCATTTCTTGTCTGCCGTTACTCCTTCAACATTTAAATTCAAAATTCCCTTCTCCTGCATTAACTCATCTTCAATATCAGCTTCATCATCGCCACGGATCACGGAGGCCATCACTTCCGAATCCTCCTCTCCATCATCCGACGAGGAATATTCCGATCCCGATGAAGCCTCACCGTTTCGATCCTCATCCGCCAACCACCAATCCGGGTCAGCCCGCCACTCCTCTTCCATTACCATGATTTCATACATCTTCTCCGCCACCTTCAGCTTTATGGTCTTTGACACTTTGTGTTTTTCAGCACACAAGACTAACACTCTGCCATCACACAATATGGCTTTAGATTTGGTATCTGCATGAAGCATTACCACTTCCCCCACAGTGCCCGTTATCCATTCAAAGCATCTGTCCGACCATGCTTTCAGAGGAACTCTAGAGATTCTCAACCAGACCATTCTACAATTATTCAGAGGAGCCAAATCCCAGGGATAGATAACCTCACACCAAACTGCAAATGATTCCGAGTTATGCTGAATATACTCACTCAAGTATCCTTCCACACGTTCAGTCAACAAAACATTCCGCCCTCCTAATGGAGATAAATTAATCAAACCTCCATCGATGTCTACTCTCTCTTGAATTATGGAAATCATTGACATTGATCTCACTACTGCTACAACACTCCCTCCCAACCACTTATTCTCCTCTTTGGATGGCGAAAAATCTATGATCCTCTCCGTCGATTCTCCAACCATAGCTCCACCTACCTTTTCCCCGGATCTAACATCCTGGAGTTCCAAAGGCTTCCCAAGAGCAATGGACGCCCTATCCATGGGATCCTCTCTCTCCTGCACCCCTACTGTTTTCCTCCAAACCTGGGCTCCCACTGATTTCGCAGAGGATTCCTTAACTGCCTGCACATAAGTCCTCCCTGGTTTAACGAAGCTCTGCTCCCTGATCCTACCCGTCCACTCGACTGTCTTTTGGTATCCTCTACCATTTTGCCCCTTGGCAATGGCTACCTTTACCCGAAGCTTATAAGACCCAATCCAGATCTGATTCATTCTCTCTTCCAATTGTTGAACGTCCTGCATCCCAATCATTCTGATGAACCCAAACCTTTTTCCCCATTTGTCCCTCTTTGCTGGCACAAACACATCTTCGACCCTTCCGCACTCTTGAAACCGATTCCATAAAGCCTTTGCGTCCCAATTATCCGGGAAATTATAAAAGAAGAACGACTGTCCCTGTCTCGAACTCCCAAACTCCCTGTTCCACCGGTGCTGCCTTTGTCGCCGTCTGGAATTGCCGCTGTCCCAAGTCGCAACGTCTCGCGCTCTAAACCTAGACCTCGCCATACCATATGATATGTCTTTACAGGGTGATACCTCCCAAGCTTGAAATTGGGTCCAGTAACCAATCCGAGAGGTTGAAACCACACCTCTTCATTCTGTCCTTGATCCATTTAAATGAAGACACCTAAACTAAATTGAACAACCTCTCTGCATCTGCCAATTCATAAAGGTCCTTCCATTCCTAGCAAATCGTCCAAATTACAGAGAACCACTTTTTTTATTTGAATAGGCCTTCCATGTTTTGAATTTAATATTTTAAATCCAAATTCCTATTGCAAAAGCTTTTCTAAAAGTCTCTAATTATTTTTAAAAGGAGATTTATATAAACATCTTTTAATTTAACATATTCATTAAAAAATTATTATTTATTGATTTAAAATTGAAAACAAAAAAATTTTAAAAATACAGTTATACATATAGTATAGAGGAATCAATTAAACCAATTGAATTTATATTATATTTTAATAGTTGAATTGACTGAGTATTAACATATGTCGAGCGTGTCGAATCAAAAATTGTCTAAATCATTTCCCTCCTAAAAAAGTACACAAAACTGTTGAATTTATATGAAGAAAATAATACATATTAATCATGAATCCATGGAGTCTCAACTTCTTTTTTTTTCTTTTTTTATCTTCCCCTGGAGTTTCAATTCAAAAACACCACCCCTAACATCCATTGGATCAAATGATATATCTATATGTAGCATGCGCATGCCAATTTTCAAATGTATGTATATTATCATCAATCCCAGTGTACGTGTACTTTCAGGAAGAATTGAAAGATCTAAAGAACTTCATGCTGCTATGAAACCTGTAAACAGAACCCTAAATGAAGGCCATGTTTGGAAAGTTAGAACAAGGTGGATCCAGGGATTAAGAAAGATTGATTGGTTACCAACAGGAGTCGTAAATCCTTCAAGGGTAAACACGTTCGTGTTGCTAGCCCTTTAGAACATGTGTTTGCTTCAGGATCTGAGGAGGAGAAGGACTCTACAAGGCCTCAGAACTTTCTTTGGAAGAAACTTCATGCATTTTGCATTTTTCTCGTCTTTATACTGTTGTTTCCAATGTGAGTTTCATCTTTGAACTACAAACATATATATATATATATATAGGGCAGGTCATTTTTAGAAAATTTGTCCAAAAATTCCCTTTTTAATTAATATTTTTAAAAACTGATTATTAATTAAAAATTTTATTCATATAAATCATGCATATTAATTTTCATATTAGTTTAATACTTACAACATTTTAATAAAAAATTCTATTTGTTGATATTTATATAATAATACTAAATTTCTTATAATTAATGAAATAATTAGATCTATTAAAATTATTTAAAGATTAGCATGCATAATTTACATGATTAAATTTTTAATGTAATAATTAATTTTTAAAAATATTAATTAGAAAATTAAATTTTAAACAAATTATTTTAAAAAAAATTAAAAAGATAATTTACAATATATATATATATATATATATGAATATCTTCGGCAAATGGGAGGCTACGGTGTAATGTACTTTTTCAATTTTGTCTTATTAGGTTATAGGAGCAACATCAGCTTCTCTTCTTCCAGTGCAAACAATTGGGGACCTCTCGCCGACACTTGTTGTAGGGATATTGAAGGTAGCTAGAGAGTCTTGTGCATCAAACTATAAAACAAAACTCGTTAAATAAGAAACTGTTTCTAATATCAAGGATTAACTCTTATTTAATAATTTAAATTATGTTTTTTAAATTGTATAATAATTTTGTTTTATTGAAAATATTACTCAAAAAAAACAGATATTTATTTATTTATTTTGAACGATTTACAATTTAAAAATGAGAGAATTCAAACCTCAACCTTAAGATGCATCTTACTATGGGGTATAGAGCCATTGACTATTGGGTGCAAGTGCAAAAACACATTTTAATTAAGTTAATCACATTTTGAGTAATCAATTCCATATATTTTCCTAGGCATTGGTGGCAGCCAGTTTGATGAACATTTATGTGCGGGCCTGAACCAGTTGTCTGATGTTGAAATAGACAAGGTACCATTTGTTACACAAAGTAATACTGGCGAAAGCATATAACGTTCATGCAATTGCAAATCCTAACTTCATGTTTTTACTTTAAATTTTTAGATAAACAAACCACATTACCCCCTTGCTTCAGGCGACTTGTCAATAGAAACTGGAATAGCTATTACTTTTGGAGCTTGTTCGATGGTAAGTAGAAAGCAGCTCTCCGATGAATCATGACAATTCTATAAACTCATTATTTGTCTCTATTTTTCAGAGTTTGGGTATAGGGATTATGTCACCTCCACCACTTTTTTTTGGCCTGTTCATTTATTTCCTTGCGGGGAGTGCGTACTCAATTAATGTAAGTTCTATGCAGCCATTTGCCTGTTTAATTTTTGGAAATGCTTTAACTTTTCTCTGTAAAAATAAGTACTAGTTAATGTTCAATGGGAAAATCCTAATTAAAAATAAAATAAAATAAAAAAATATATGGATTAAATATAAAGATGTTATTTCACATATTATTAATTGGTTTTAGATTAATGCAAGTTTTCTATTGAAACTTATATACACAATTTTCACATTTATATGTAAAGGCCACAACATCTCTACACATGAGGGGGGCATATTAAGTGAGAAAATCTTACATTGAAGATACAACAAAAAAATACATGAAAAGAGAGTTACTCCACCTATTAGTAATCGATTTTAAATTAAATATAAATCTTATATTTAAATCTACATACACAATTTTTATGACTAATGTATTACGCATAACTAAAATTACTGAGTTTAAGCTGTTTGGTATATTAACCATTGGAATTGTTGACCTGTATCTCTGTGTCAAGTGTTGTGCTGGGTTTAATTTGATTTATCCATCTACCTTTCACAGCTCCCCTTCCTCAGATGGAAGAAAAACCCATTTTTGGCAGCAGTCAACATGTTGATCCTGGGAATTTATGCCCCGCTCACTTTCTTTACACACATTACACATACAGGTAAAATATAATAAAGTTTTATTCTATCTGTAACTTGCCATCATAAGTCAACATTCTATATATTTTTCCTTTCTCACAACATTATACTTTTTTTTGTTTTTTTTTCTGTTTGTTCTTAATCCACTAACAAAATTTCCACATATATGAGCAGAAATATGTTCTTGGCAAGCCAATGGTGGTTACAAAATCATTGGTATTTGCCAGAGCTTTTGTGAGCTTCTTCTCTGTTGTCCTTGCACTATTCAAGGTAACTCTTTAAATCAGTACTGGAGCTTTAAGTGGATACCAATGGTTATGACATTACTTCATTTGGCCCTTAATAGGACATTCCTGATGTGCAACGTGACAAAGCTTTTGGCATCCAAACGCTCAGTGTCAAACTAGGAGAAGAAAATGTACAAAAACTAAGACTTTAATATTGATTTCTACCCCATCATTTTGATCATTTCTATTTATCATTCTTGTTGAAGAATAATTTCATGTGTTTCCGATTCTTTAGTGAATTTGTAATTTGCTAGCTACCTAACAAGCTTTTTTGTTCTAATGATAAAGGTATTTTGGCTTTATGTTAATGTGATATTATTGGCATATGGAGCTGCTATGGTGGTAGGAGCTACCTCATCATCTCGTCTGAGCAGACTTATCACTGTATGTATAGATAACTTCAGCACCCATAAATTAATTCTTTGGAAAACACACACACACTCCCAATCTATTCTAAGTCTTTCTGTGAGAATATTGTCATTTAATGGGAGTTTTAATTACTTTTCTTTTCCCACGAAGATTACTGGCCATTCCTTGCCTACTTCCTTGGTGGTTTTCCGAGTTCAATCTATTGATCTCACTAATAAAGCATCAGTAGCTTCGTTTTATACGTTCATCTGGAAGGCAAGTAATTAAAATTCTATTTTTATATATCCACCCACCCCTCCAATTTGTTTAGGATATTCTTGACCTTAAATTTTTATTGCAGCTGCTCCATGCTAAGTTTTTCCTTATACCTTTTGTTCGCTAAGAAGAGTTGAAAGTT